CCCAACTTTTTGTTGGTTTGTAAAATAATATTTGAATAATATTTTATGATTATAATTTTTAACATTTACTTAAATATTAGTTTTATTTTATTTACATATTTATTAAATATAAATATTTAATAATATTTACATTGTCTTATATTATTATACCATTGTTTATCTTTCTATAGTTGGGCATCTTATCTCCTTTTGGAGTGTGGCTATTTTTACTGAGAACAGTTATTAAAAAGTTTTTTCCCTTTAGATTATTTTGGAATCAAGAATTCTAGGATCTGTTATAGGTTTTTTGTACTAATTAGCTATGAGTAAATCACAAAACTTATCTGGATCTCAGTTCCTTCATCTGTAAAATAAGGATATTGAATTAAATGATTTCTTGGTTCTGTGACCTTTTGAAATTTACCAAAAACAATACATTAAGCTTAGTAGTCTTAAAATAATAGATATAGAAACACAGCAATGATATACTGTTACAGGTTAAAAAAAAAACTTGTTCTGTTTCTTGTTGGATAGATGATGCTTTTCTTTGGTAACAAAATTATCTCTAATTTGTCTCCCTTGACATTTCTTGCTTAGAAATACCTCTTCATCTTTTTTCAATTCATATTAAGGGTATTTTTTAGAGGCATGCCTTTTTTTGAGGGAGGGAGACTGTTAGGGAAGAAAAATGCACTGCTTTTGATTTAATTTATTCTATGTAATAACTGTACACATTAATCTTCATTATTATGTAACTGCTGCCAGTTGGCCTAATCAGTTTTCGGGACTCAATTGGAAAGCTGATCTCCTTAAATCTGTTTAAATGGTCTCTCATCAAAAATTACCACATTCAACTAGTTACACCATTTCTTCACTACAAAGGTAGGGATTAAATTATAATAGAGCCTGTTCTCAGTGTTTCGTTTTGTTTTTTTCCTCTGTTTACTTGGCATCTATGAAAATTGCACCAGAGAAGATGAATAGACACGTCTTTTGATGTGTTCTTTGGGGAATGAGATTAAAACCAGTGGTAAAATGAGATGTAGACAGTAACATTTGAATTACAACATCAAAACGTAAGTGGAGTGTTAGTAAAACTAGAACTTCCAAAGTTTAAAATCCCCTCGAGTTATAGCATACAGATGTGGATGCTCAAAGCTAATAAATCTTGAATATATGATATGATCTTAGTCCCTCCCCGTAAGTGAAATAGACTACATTTTTCCATAGAACTTTTCGCCAGAGATATGAGAGCATTAAAGAGATAAAAGAAATCCTAAAGCTCATCTAGGCATTTCTCTCATTTTTATCAATGGGTAAATGCTTCCCTAAGGAGGGGAGATGAACTTCCTTTGTGCACAACTGTTTAGTAGTAGAGTTGAGACTAGATCTTGAGTCATTGGGTTCCTAATCCATTTCACTTTTTACCATACTACTTAGTGTTGTTATTGTTTTAAATTCTTTCCCCTTTTTGTCTTCCACATCTCCTATGCAGTTAGATGTCGATGTCTGTTGGCCAGTGATATCTGATGGTTTTCTTTCTCTTCAGAAATTTTTAAATTTTATTTTTGGTTTCTATACTTATCATCCTAATCTAGGCAATCATTTCCCAGTACCCAGGGTATTAGTTACCTTCTGCCTGTACTCACTACTTCCCTATTAGCTTTCTCTGCCTTTGGTGCTTTGCGCTTTATTCCATTCACTGCTGGTAGATAGATTGATACTCTTTAAACAATGTTTTCATCATGTTCTTTTCCTGTTTAAGGGCTCCAGTGGCTTCCTGTTGTATGTGTGATCAAAATTCTCAGTTCAGCATCAAAGAGCTTCTTAAGTGATCATGGCTTACCTATTTGATCATATGTCTGTTTATTCTCCATATCTGATCAGATGTTATAAACTTATCTTCTAGCCTTACACACGCCTTGCTTGTTCCAGCTTTTGAATTGGTTATGTTATTTATCTCTCACATTGAAAACTTCCAAGTGCTCTTTTCTTTCTGTTGTCAGTGATGAGTAATGTTTTCTCCAGATATGTATATTTTAGTTGGGCTCATTTTTGTTATTGACAAAAGCAGTGCTATGTTTGTGAATGCACTTGTGGGTTTGGAAAATGTTAATTTAAAAATGAATCAGAAATTGACAGGAAGAAAATCTAATGTACGGTCTCCTTGGTGCTGGATTTTGCTAGAGCATGTGCAATAAAATGACATGATTTCTGGGATTGGGGAGGGATGTAAGAATTGTGTTGCTAAAGCTTGGGTCGTAGGAAATAGGAGAAAAATTAATTCTTTTCCCACTTTGTCTATAATGGCAGGATTTAGCTCCCACTTTGAAATTGGACCTAGGTTGAATGAAGGAGGGGAGAAAGGGTATTACCTATACCTTGAGAGATTGTAGGTATAAATCCCAGAGTAGAGTCAGTAACTGGCTCAGTGATATTAGGAGACAGCTAAGTCGTCTCACTTGACTTGAACCCAAGCAATAAAAGACAGTTTTCTTAGTATATTGGAGCTGAGAAGTACACTTAAATGTTAGGAGCCAGTACCCGTCTAATTTGTACCTTGATGTTTTTCATGTGAAAGTAAAATAGTTAAATATTTCAAGCACCTATAATATAACAGGCTCTGTGCTAGACTACGCATTTATAAAGTGGAAAAAAATAATTTTGGCCCCAAAGGAAGCTCAGAGTCAAGTGAGGGAGGCAAACTTATGTATGAATGAATATGTTAATTGCCATAGGAAGATACATACAATGTGCAAGATAATTTAAATTAGGAAGTGGTGAACTGTGCTTTGAGAAAGTCGAAGGTGAGGAGGGTGGATACATTGTGTGATTTGAATCAGTTGCCGCTACAAAAAGTCATGTAACCAGGAACAAACGCCTCTTTCTTCTTCAGTCTGCCTGGTGGAATAAAAGAATGAGGGACTATACTCTGGCCTCAGGATCATTGTCTAGATTAAAAAAATTGTTTTCCATTAATTCTCTGGATGGAGGTGCTAGAAATGATCCTAAGTCTTTTGGGGGTACCCCTGACATTTCTATCACTTGAACAAAATTTTACACAAAATTTTATTTAGTTTGAGGCTCAAGACTAAGCAAAAACCTTTGCTGGCTAACCCAGTCTTACCCTGGTCCTTTAAACAAAATTTAAATTCTCTAACATCTATACCCTAATATTTTTATACTTCTTCAAGATATCATTTTAGAAATGTATCACTTAAAAAATCTTTCATGTGTATCTTGCCTAATTAGAATGTAAAAGAATTTTTGGCCTTTTAGGTCTGATGCAAGACTGGATGATATGAACTTAATAAATTTTTGTTGAATGAGAACTTCCCAGTAATTCTCTTAGATGCTGCATTAGTCAGCTTTTGCTGTGGCAAAAAACAACTCCCAAATTTTAGTGGCTTACAATAACAGGTATTTATTTCTCACTAGCATTCTGCAGGTCGGCTCTGCTCAGCTGGAGTCAGCTGGTCTTGAAAGTGCCTGGCTCCTGGCTGAGATCTGTTTATTATGGAACCCAGGTTGAAGGATCAGTGTCTACCTGGGGCATGATCTTCTCTTGGTAAAGTGCAGGAGCACAAGAAGGCTAACAGGAATACCTCTTAAAAGCACTTTGTGGAACTGGCCCACATCCCATTGGTCAAAGCAAGGCATATGGCGAGATATATACCCAAAATGAAGAGTGGGAAAGTGGTATTTGCCTATGGGGTGGAGGATGGGAGAGTGAATGTTTATTGAATAAATACTATGACCTAATACAGATGTTTCCGATATAAAATAAAAAATTAAAGGAACAGGTGAAGTTAAAAGTATGAAATGAAAGAATCTGCTGGGGAGGAGGGCTTCCAACAGCCTGGGAGTGAGAAAGATTTAACTAAAACCTAAATTACTTTATCAAAAGCAATATCAGCTTTACAAGGTAGGGGGCAGCAAAGTGTCCTAGTTAAAAACTTGGGCTCTGGAGTCATTCCACTCTTGGTTCAGATTCTGGACCCACCACCTCCTAGCTGCTTACTCTTGAGCAAATCACTGAATCTCAGTTTCCGCATCTGTAAAATGGATGTGCCACTTGTCAATCTATTGCTTTTCAGTTCTGAATCCATCTTTCACTGTCCTGTTTGTGATACTAGAAATTTCTCCCTTGCCAGCTTTTGTTAAGCTTTGTTAGTAGACGGATTAGAGGGGGAGACTGGAGAAGGAAGGGATGTTTCTTCCTGATCCTACTGTGTTCTTTGCTGCTTACTCCTATAACATGCAGTGGCCAGCAGCATGTGGGACACCCAGTGGCGCTCAACCCCTAGGCAACACTTTAACCCCTAGGCAACAAGTTTAGCAGCAACACTCCCACATGCAGTTTGCCAGCGAGTCCCATACTATGGCACCTTACCAACAAGTTCTGCTGGCATGAGTTCTCCTAGTACGTGGTTTTACAGTGAGTTCTGTTGGCATGGCACTTTAGTAAATTTCTTAGACATCCTTGGCTATGTCCTCTCCATGAATTCTGGATCTCAGCCCTGTTGGGAATGGCCCCTGTGCAGATGTGCAGATTTATTCCTTTCTTATTGCTCTATATCAGCCCTTGAAGGAGTGGCTGTTCCCTATATCTGCTGTCTCTTTGCCTCTTAGTACTTAGAACCCTGTTTTAATTAATAATGTTTTATATTAAACTTGCCCTGTTCAAATTACCAGGAGGTTTCTTGTCTTCTCCCATCCAGGTACTAACCAGGCCCAACCCTGCTTAGCTTCTGAGATCAGTCGAGATCGGGCACATTCAGGGTGGTATGGCTGTAGACTCTTGTCTTCTAATTGTACCTTGACTGATGTATCAGGTTTATTAGTAGTACTTTTCTCGTACAATTGTTCTGAGGATTAAATGGGATAATACATGCAAAGTGTTTAGAATAGTGTCTGCCAGTGGGTAAGTACTTAGTGTTTGTTGGTGATGTTGGATAGTATCGCTATCATCACTGTCACTACCACTAGTTAGGAATAACATTTCTACTTTTTGTCCACAGGATGTTTCGTCTTAACTCACTTTCTGCATTGGCAGAACTGGCTGTGAGTTCTCGATGGTACCATGGAGGATCACAGCCCACCCAGATGAGGCGACGACTAATGATGGTGGCTTTCCTGGGAGCATCTGCAGTAACTGCAAGTACTGGTCTCTTGTGGAAGAGGTGAGTGTTATCTGAGCATCGTGTTCCTGCATGTACTTTTATTTTTCCAGTTGTCTCTGTTATTTAAAAGGAATTCATTTCTGGCTTAATTTGTATCAATATTTCTTGCCCAAATTATTTGGCATTGATAATATTTATCTATGAAATAAGATGTTTCAAAGCATTCAGCTATCACATCAAAGCAACAAATAGGAAATATTCTGCTTGAGAGTCTGCCTGTCTCTTCTGCTGAACATTTTAAATTTACGAATTTAATAAATTTATAGTAAATATTTAATATTTACTATAATTCAGTCGTTTTGAGTATATTCACAAAGTTGTGAATTTTTACATGTACAGTTCAGTCGTTTTGAGTATATTCACAAAGTTGTGCAGCCATCACCACTATCTAATTCATGAAAAATTTCATTACTCCGTAAAGAAACTCCATACCACTTAGCAGTCACCTCCCACTTTCTCCATCCTCCCCAGCCCTAGGCAACCACTAATTTACTTTCTGTCTGTAGATTTGCCTCTTCTGGACATTTCATATAGGTGGAATCATATAATATATGGTTTTTTGTGATTGGCTTCATTCACTTAGCATAATGTTTTCAAGGTTCATCTATGTTGTACCATAAATCAGTACTTCATTCCTTTTTATGGCCAAATGATATTCCATTATATGGAGTGTATACCACATTTTATTTATTCGTTTATCTATTAATGGATATTGAGATTATTTCTCTTTTTTGGCTATTAATGAGTAATGTTTTGGTATGTACATTTGTGTATAAGTTTTTGAGTAGAATATGTTTTCATTTCTCATGTGTATATAACTAGAAGTGAAGTTGCTGGATCATATGGTAACTCTATGTTTAACATTTTGAGGAAGTGCTGGATTGTTTTCCATTCCCACCGGCAGTGTATGAGTGTGTGTGCTTATGAGTGTGTGCATGTGTGTGCGCTTAGGTTTCCTCATCTGTAAAATGGGGATAATGATGTACCTATCTCCTAGGGTTATTATGAGGATTAAATGAGTTATTATTTATTAAATGCTTAGAACAGTGCCTGGCACATGGTAAAAATAAATGTCTTATGTAGACAGTACTTGGCACATAGTAAGCCATCAATAAGTGTTAGCTGTTATTATTGGGTATAATATGAGGGTGAGCGATAGTGAAGAAAGGAGAGAGAATATTAGCAGAAAAGACTGGCTTTCCCTAAAAAACTGGGGTCATGATATAAAGATCTTATATACTGTGCTAAGACGTTGAGATTTTAATCTCTAGGCAGTGGTGAGCTAAGAGATTTTGAAGCAAGAGACTAATAATAGACAAGTTTTAAGAGAGGTTAATATAGCAACAACAGTGAGATAAACTGGACTGGGGAGAAGCTACTGACAGACACTAATATTAGTTTGAGATGATAATCAGGGTACAGGACTCTTAGAAAGGAGTGGATGGCCTAGAAAAATTTCCAGATAAAATGGACAGGAAGAGAGACAGAGACAGAGAGAGATAGAGAAAGATCTAGACTGAGGGACAAAGAGAGAAGGATAAAGAGAGGGAGGCAAGAAAGAAGGAAAGGAGGAGCAGGAAATGCATTTTTTGTCCTTTAGCTGTAATAAATAGTAAATGCTTAGCAGTTTCTTCAGGGATGCTTTCCTACAATGGAATTACCACGCAGGTGCATTTAGAATTGCCTTTTGGCCTATTCTAACATCAAAGAAGACAACAGACTGTACTTTAAGAAGCTGAGAAGGTGTCTCATGGTTTGAATGTTTAAGAAGTTATTACTCTTTTTCTTCCCCAGAGTCAATTTGTTTATACTATTCAGGTTAAATGCTGATGAACAAGTTAGATTATTTTATTTTTCTTAATTTGTGTTTTGCTACTTTTTGTAATATTACTCCCATGAAAAGAATAAGAAGATGGTTTTGGAATGTTATGTAAAGGAACCATTCACATTTTTCTTGGTACAACATTTGTAATTTTTGAACCCCAAAACATCCAAAAGCAGAAAATCTACATCTTGTCAGCATATCCTCAATATTAGGATTTTTCTAATGCGTATGCTTTTGTCACAGATTATAATTTCATGAGTGTTTCAAAATCGTAAATATACTAAGTACCAGGATTTTAGTGCTCCAAGATTGTAAGATTTATGTCTTTGCTGTGCCATGTAGAAGTTATAATGAAATGAACTACAATTATTCTCAAGTTTTAAAACAAAAAATAAAACTTGTTGAAATTTTCGTGCTTATGATGAGATCAAGATAATAGCAAAGACTCTCTAAAATAAATGAGTTATCTTGTCAAAGGCTATAGACATAGGGTTTGCCATTTAATTTTTAAGTCTTTTTTTCCATTCTCTTTTTGAATTGTTAAATGAGCAGAAATAAAATTTTTTCCTAAGAAGTGAGACTTAACATTCTTTTAAAAAGAGGGTATGATATAAATTTTAATTTTTAAAAAGTAAAACTTTAATGTTCATAATTTAAATTACAAAAGAGCCACATGTTTGATCTAAAACGTCTAAAACAGAAATAAAGAATAAAAATCTCTCTTTCCCATCCCCAATCCCTTTTCCTTAACAACAAAAAAATTCCTTTTCCTTAGCAACAACAAAAAATGTATATTTAATGTGTGATGTTATAGATAGTTTTGAAATATATAGGTGAATAACAAAGTATACAATTTGGAATGTTTGCTGGCAAACAAAAATAAATGTGTTCTAGGTTATGCGATTAGGTATGTGTAAAGACCAGGTGTACTACTTAAATTCACTAACATGAATTGACTTAAATCTGATCCTTAGAAGCCATATTAGATTACTATTAGAGAAGAAACATTTGTCACAATTTTAGTTTTATGTCCTCAATGTCAAAGAACACACTGAGACAGTGAGTAGTAAGGATTCAGGGTTTGGAGTCTGAATACCTGGGTTCAAACTGGCTGTATCATGTATCTAATGTCATTCTTCTTCTGCCTAAAGTACTTCCTTTACTGGGAGTGCTTGTCTGCTGGGGATGGATCCTGTCAGCTTTTGTCTGGAAATATCTTTATTTTGCCTTTACTTTTGAAGGATATTTTCACCAGGTATAGAATTCTAGGTTGACTTTTTAATTTTTCTAGCACTTTAAGGCTGCCATTCAGTTGTGTTCAGCTTTTTTTTTTTCCACTTTAGTATTCTCATTATACAATATTCACTATTATTATTATACATTCTACAGTATTTTTTCTGTTTTGGTAAAATATACATAGCATAAGATTGACCGTTTTAACCATTTTTAAGTGACATTAAGTACATTAACATTGTTATGCAACTGTTGCCACCATCCATCTCCAGTTTTTCATCATCCCAAACTGAAACTCTGTGCCCATTAAACAATAATTCCCCAGTCCTTTCTCTTCTCATCCCCTGGTATTCTACTTTCTGTCTCTATGAATTTAACTATTCTATTACCCATATAAGTGGGATAATACAATATTTGTCCTTCTGTGTCTGGCTTATTTCACGTAGCATAATTTCAGGGTTCATCCATGTTGTAGCATGTGTCAGAATTTCCTTCCTTTTGAAGGCTGAATAATTTTCTATTGTATGTATATATCATTTTGTTTATCCATGCATCTGCTGATGGATACTTGGGTTGTTTCCACCTTTTGACTGTTGTGAATAATGCTACTATGAACATTTAGGCACAAATATCTCTTCAAGTCCTTGCTCTCACTTCTTGTGGGTATATAACCAGCAGTGGAATTGCTGGATCATGTCTTCAGCTTTTTTATGAAAAGTCAATGGTATTCTTTTTTTTTAATAATTTTATTTATTTATTTATTTTTCCCTCAAAGCCCCAGTAGATAGTTGTATGTCATAGCTGCACATGCTTCTAGTTGCTGTATGTGGGACGCGGCCTCAGCGTGGCTAGAGAAGCGGTGCGTCGGTGCGTGTCCGGGATCCGAACCCGGGGCGCCAGCAGCGGAGCGCGCGCACCTAACCGCCAAGCCACGGGGCCGGCCCAAATGGTATTCTTATCTTTGTTCTTATGTGTGAACTGTATCTTTTTCCTTGGCTTACTTTTATGATTTTCTTTATCACTTGTTTTCAGCAATTTGATTATGATGTGTTTTGATGCCATTTACTTTGTATTTATTCTGTTTAGGGTTTATCAATTTTCTTGGACTGTGAGTTTATGGTTTTCATGAAATTCGAACAATTTTTGTCCATTATTTATTCATTAAGTTTTTCTGTCTTAACCCCACCCCCCCCCCCAACACACACATTCTTTCTGGGACTTCAATTCATAGATGTGCTAGACCATCTGATATTGTCCCACATATCACCAAGGTTCTGTTGGAATTTTGTACAGCCGTTTTTCTCTCTGTGCTTCAGTTTTGGAAATTTTTATTGTTGTCTCTTCAAGGTCACCGATCTCTTTTTCTGCAGTATCTTATCTGCTAAGTCTATCTAGTGATTTTTAAAAAGTTTTAGGCATTGTATTTTTAATCTCTAGAAGTACCGTTTTAAAAATATCATTTATCTTTCATGTTCATTTTCCTTTAAATGCTTTAACATATTTATAATCATCCTTTTAAAGTCTGTTTCAACTTATTCTATCATCTCTATCCTTTCTGAGTCTGTTTCTATTGACTGATTTTCTTCTGATTATGTGTCTCATTTTCCTGCCTGGTTTTTTTTGTCTAATAATTTTTTTATGTGGCTGCTGCTTTTTTTAATTGTGGTAAAATATATGTAACATGAGATTTACCATTTTAAGTGTACACTTCAGTGATATTAAGTCCATTCACATTGTGCAACTATTATCACTCTCTATATCCAGAACTTTTTCAGCTTCCCAAATTGAAACTCTATACCCATTAAACAATAATTCCCCCTCCTCCCCCCTGGCCCCTAGTAACCACCATTCTACTTTGTGCCTCTATGAATTTGACTACTCTACTTACCTCCTATAAGTGGAATCATAGAATATTTGTCCTTTTATGTTTTGCTTATTTCAC